CCCCCCCCCCGCGACTTGTTCTACGCGTTTGGCATGCCAAATTGTCGAGGTACCATGATGGGGTTGTGCTTGGAAAACATCGGGTACTCAAAAAAAGTCGGGCTGGACGGATATGGCCAAGGTGGCCTTATCACGCATTACTTTGGCAAATATTTATACCTAATTCACGCGCTATGATCTGATGAGAATGGCGCAATAATAACGACGGACCTAATACGACAATTAATTAATACATGTTTATATATGAGCAACACGGCGCCGTAGACGTCGAGACTTTTTAGTTGGAGATGCTGTGATGCGTAGGGAGTTTCTCCGAGCAGGTAGGCGCTTCATTCCCATAAGAGTATAGAGGCGTATTGTGCAGTAAGCGGCATTGTTATGGAGACTTTGAACGTCCAAGTAAACATTTGATGGGAACGCCTATTCAGCACCCCGAGCTGTCCAGTATCCCGTGTCACAGATACTATCGAATACTAGAATTTTTTTTATTAAAGTAAAGTAGTAAATTTGGTGTTTTTAATAAATGAAACATAGCCATTATCGCAAATGCTCGAGAGATGCAATCATAGTAGTAACTACGGTACTAAAGGAATATAGCTATAGTACCCAGTAGAAAGTAATAATAGCAGCATATAGATACTAAAAGAAGTCAACTGAATATTTTCAAGTTGCTGTTAAAGCGAATTTCTATTAATAAACAAACAGCTTTCCGGTTCCAATGCTCAAACTTGACGCAATCGCTAGAGTTTGCATAGCCAACTTGGGGTGCTGAATAGCTAAGGTACTAGGCACTCCCTTCCGATTCCCATAAGAAGTATAGAGGCCCGAGTTTATGCAGTAGGTGGCTTTGTTATGGAGACTTTTGACCATCCAAGTAAGCATTTGATTGCAAGTGTGCCTCCAAAAGAGCCTCACGGCAGAGCCCCACCGCAGCAATTCTTATACTCGGAGTGCGTTTGACTCGGCGGCCTCGCCACAGCACAACACAAGCAAGCTTCTTGCCGCAGTAGACAGCAGGTTTTGAAGGCGAAACACTTACAGTACAGACAAGCCTGGCAATGTGTCGGACGGCCAAAGACACAACTTGGATGCTGATCACCGCTTGCACAGTGAACCAAAGTTACCCTGTACGTCACTTTACAGGGCATCGGCGAATAGAATGTCGGGCGGGGAAGCGCATACAAGACAGAGCCCGCGGTGTTCACAATTACATAGCACTCCAAGAGACCAACTAGAGCAAGCCGCATGATTCGTCGATTTCCTGTGTTGTGTCGCATGAGGATGTGGTGGTCCGAGAATGGGGGGCACATCGACGTCTGGGCAATGTCGGTCTCAGTTTCACAGCTGCTAGTTGTAGCAGGCGAGCCAACTCAATCGGCCACAGCTCGAAGCCTTGACAGGCACCGGACACGGGATCAAGTCTAGCTCTCCGCATCCAGCGAAACTCCCATAGAACCCCCATGCACAGCCCTGTCAGATATACTTGCACACGCATCCGAAGCGGCGTTTATGGCTATGGCTATTTAGGCATCTCGAGCTCTTGGTTGGGCACGAGTGGCAACGAGGCTTCAGGCCAGGTATTTACAGGTACTTACAGGTACCCAGCAGGCAGTTATAGCACTCGGGACCCCTCAAAGCGGGCCGCCAGGCCGCCGGGCTAGAATAAAACAGCCCAGACCCCACCACGATGTCATTTGATGGCCTCGGGATCGTCTTGAAGCAAAGCACCGCTGACGTCTGGTGGGTTTTCTGCCAAACCCATCCTGACCCTCGTCTTCCACCAAGATTGTTTGTTTACTCCTCAGAGGCACGCTGCTGTGGGTTTTTGCCAGCTTGGCCTGCGGACCTCTGCCTCATCATTGGATCTCGATACGTGCTCTTGTCCAAGCTCCATCGCGGGTCCTGCGACGCAGCTCACATTGGGCCTCTGGCCGACCAATTTCGGCGCGTCGCATTCACGCCCTGGCCTGGCATCCAACAGAGCCTGTCGCAGGCCTCTTTACCCTGGCGATCTAGGATATAGCTTCTAGCGACGGGTCAAGATGAGCAACTCTCTCGACATACATGATATGCTCCAGACGGGCTTCTTCACCACGTCAAGAGCAAGGCATGGCCATTCGTACGTACTGCCCTGATCCATGGCTACCTTCTTGCACCTCATTTGGAAACAGATAATGACCGTGTTGATCCACAAAGAGCATCCGTCGATTCATCGACGCGCCCTGGGCGCCTATACGAGTCGACTGAGCCACCTGTGTCTCGTGTAGCGCCTCGATACTACGACGACATTCCCTATCGGCGCCGCTCGCCGCTGCCCCCGCCCACTGTCGAAGATGAAGCTGAGTCAATCGCCAAGGAATTCCGCGGCCGCGTCGAACCTGTCTGGGAAGAAGAGCCCCAATCAAGAGGAGAAGTTGACCAGCAGCCACTCATGCTCGAAGTCCATGAGTACAACCCTGAACGTCGCTTTGTTATTGTACCAGGGACGGCCAAGCCGAGCGCTTCGGAGAGTGCGACTGATGACAGCGCATCCAGAGACAAGCTCCGCCAGGAGAAGGAAAAGAAGAAAGAGCGGAAGAAGGCATCTGCGTCTCCTTCGCCTGAGGCATATACCCGAAGAACCAACGAACCTGAAAAGAAGGACTCCGATCGCCTTGACGACACTGTTCCCAGGTTAGAAAGACGTAGGAGCAGGCAAGATTTGCCTCGGCTGGAGACAGACATAGACGAGGACCGGGTACCAAGTCACCACCGGAGCAAATCTGCTGCTAGTGGCATCCGCCCAGAATTCTCGCAGTCATATCGCAAGTATGGGGAGGAATATCTTTCGCCGCAGGTAACAAAGCATGGGTCGAGTGGTCGAGATAAGACATATCATGGATATGGCCAGCCGCCCACCCAGAGTAGCGTCAGTCTGGGAGAGTCGAATGACAAGAGGCGGGACGACGACAAGTACCACAGACGAAGCGCGACAGTGTCGGCGGAGAGGCCAAACTCAAGCTTCGAACCATTCCGAAGACCTACCTCGAACGACCGCGTCAATGGACCTCGGCCTCTAGACGGTAACCGACCGCCACGGGATGATTTGAGAGAAGGGGCTTATGCGGCCTATATGCCAGCGGTCGTCGAAAACTTGAGGGCTCCGTCCCCATCCAAGCCTAAGGGCCAGAATTCTCCACGGGATGAAGCGTTTAGTACGTCTTATAGGAGAGAAAACCCCGTCATCATTGAGGATGACCGCGCGTCTATTGCATCGTCGCGCAGAGGCGATGCAAGCGGTCATAACTCTCGCTCTCCGTCCAGAGTCCCTACCATGCCCATACCGGCGACGAACTCAGCCGAGCCACCAGAGGACTGGGCACCGAACCGACGGGTTTCCACTACCTTCCCCATCAGCCGCGACAAGACTACACTGGAAAATCGGACTCCCCCGACGATTTACCTTCCTTATCCAGATGATGACGATGCCATTGTTGCTTGGCCAGAGACATCCGCAGAGGGCGACGATATGCGACAGGCACAAGCGATGAGCGCGTCGGCTGTCTTGATGCCTCCCATCCCTCAAGTTGACGACGAGCTTGTCGCACCGGATGATAAGTCTGTTAGATCACCAACCCCCAAAGAGCCACCTGTGGTGACGAAGCCTTGGCAGCCTCCCCCCTTTGACCCCAGCAAATCGGGGGTGCGCCCAGACCAAACAGTTGGGTCATACCGGCGCTATTCCGAGACAAAAGGTCACGAAGGGCAATCTGATCTTCCAAAGATACCAGAATGCAAGCGCACGGAGCCGGTGGCAGGCAAGATGGATTGGCTTACGCTTCCCCGGACGGATTTCAACATTTGTCCTGATTGCTACGGCACCGTGTTTGCAGAAACCCAGTTTCGAACTCACTTTCACCCGGTGTTGCGGTCGACTAGCACCGCCATCGCATGCGATTTCGGCTCATCCCCATGGTATCGGATTGCCTGGCTACTCACGCTGAAACACAAGGTGCCAGACCTGCAATTGTTCCATGCTCTGGCAAACGTCATGATGGAATCTCGCGATTATCCGTGTCCCCTGGAACGAAAGGTAACACGAGTCTGGTATTCAGTCAAAGACCCTTACACGAGGCGGCCAGTACCCGAGTTTGCGGTATGCTACCAATGTGCGAAGACCGTGGAGACTTTGTTCCCAAACCTCACCGGCGTTTTCATCCCGCTCGATTCTCGAGGCGAGCCCACACGAAACGTGTGCTCTCTTCACTTCACACCCCAAAGAAAGCAGTTTGTACTCTTCTTTGACGCATTTGAAACCACATCCGACAAGGGCTATGTGACCAACAAAAAGCCAGACCTCGGCGATTTGTCCATGATGCTTACACGGCTGAGCACTCTGAATGAGTGTCGCGAAGACCGCCGCGTGAGCGATGGATACTGGTACGTCATGGAGTATCTGCCAGACTTCACCGTTTGTGGAGAATGCTACGAAGATGTAGTTCGGCCTCAGCGCACGGACGACAATGTGATTGCTCAAAACTTTTACATGAAGCCCACGAAGCTGCCTGTTGCAACTTGCCAGCTCTACTCTCCTAGGATGAGGGAAGTTTTCAAGAGGGCCTGCAGGAATAAGGACCCCGAATACCTTGAGGGGAAAGTTCGAGAGAGGTTGAAGATTGAGAAGGACGTACACACCAAGTTTCTCGGTCTCGTCAGAGATAAGCGCAACAGCGCATGGACGGACGAACAGATTGACAAGCTGAGCAGGGAGTGGAAGAGATGGGAATAAACGGACAGGCAAAAAAAACTCCTTTCTTTTTCTTCTTTTTTGGGTACTTGATGCGCCTAAACATGCATAGCGAGATTCATATTACGAAGACGCCATGAATAGAGTAGCACAAAACATGATAACTATATGACATGATGACCATAGATGAAAATAAATCTTGGCTTGGATACTGAGGCTTGCAACTCTTGACGTGAAGCTTGTGACGACATTGTACTTGTAGCAGCGCCTCTGCGCCTTACTAAGCTGACGCACACCCCCAATAAGGCATAGACCAGATCCCGCTTGGATTTTGGAGGTCAGGGATAGAGTCACGTGAAGCACAATTCAACTCGCTAAGGTACGTACCCCACCACTTAGGGTCTCCGCCCACCAAAAATCCTCAGAAGGAAAATTCAGGTGAAATTTATCGCGGGTCCGCCAGAAACTTTCCATCCCCATCGCCAAATTCGACGCCCCGACGACCACGGTACGTTACGCTTTTACGCCTGACCCTGGAAACGGATTTGGCCTCTCTTTGAAATTGCTAACTCTTGTCCCTTCCATTAGGTCTCAAATCCTCCCGTCACAATGGCCTCCAGACCTACCGTTACGATCATCGGAAAGGATGGTGCTCCCTCTGGAGCTACCCACACCATTCCTGCCGTCTTCGCCAGCCCTATCCGACCGGATATCGTGAAGCAGGTTCACACTGGCATGGCCAAGAACAAGCGCCAGCCTTATTCCGTCAGCGAGAAGGCTGGTCACCAGACCTCTGCCGAGTCTTGGGGAACTGGTGAGTTTTTATGTGGTGGCCGTGGGAAGAATTTGAGATGGCAATCGAGATGGGAGGATTGGTGGGGAATCGGGAAAAATTTCTCCCTTTCTCTCTATCGTCAACCCATGTTGAAATGCTATTCTCAACACCATGCGAAATATCAGTATGGACCGTGGCTGACTGGATTTGAATTGCTTAGGTCGTGCTGTTGCCCGTATCCCCCGTGTCTCTGGTTCCGGTACCCACCGTGCTGGTCAGGCCGCCTTTGGTAACATGTGCCGATCTGGTCGCATGTTCGCCCCTACCAAGATCTGGCGCAAGTGGCACGTCAAGGTCAACCAGGGCCAGAAGTCAGTCAATTCTTGTTTTCTGGGGGAAAATCCCCAGAATCTTGCTATTTTTGGGAGCTATGGAATAACTAACATGGAAAAAAAACTTGTAGGCGATATGCTACCTGCTCCGCCCTGGCTGCCTCTGCCTCCGCTCCTCTCCTGCTCGCCCGTGGCCACCAGGTCATGACCATCCCCGAGGTTCCCCTGGTTGTCGACTCTGCTCTCGTTGAGGGCAGCTCCGTCGCCCGCACTGCTGCCGCCCTCGCCCTCCTCAAGGCCGTCGGCGCCGGTGCCGAGCTCGAGAAGGTCAAGGGCTCCAAGAAGCTCCGCGCCGGTAAGGGCAAGCTCCGTGGCCGCCGCCACCGCCAGCGCCGTGGTCCTCTGATTGTCTACAACCCCGAGGTCGATGGCAAGGAGCTCGTCAAGGGATTCCGCAACATCCCCGGCGTTGAGACCTCACCCGTCTCTGCCCTCAACCTCCTCCAGCTCGCCCCTGGTGGTCACCTCGGCCGATTCGTCATCTGGACCTCTGCCGCCTTCAAGGCCCTTGACGAGATCTACGGCACCACCACCACCGCCTCTACCCACAAGAAGGACTTCCTCCTGCCTTCCAACGTTGTTTCCCAGGCCGACCTTACTCGTCTGATCAACAGCAGCGAAATCCAGAGCTCCCTCAACGCTCCCAAGGGCGACGCTGTGACCCGACGATCTGCCGTCCAGAAGAAGAACCCCCTGCGCAACAAGCAGGTTCTTCTGCGCCTGAACCCCTACGCGAAGGTCTTCGCTGCGGAGTCTCAGAAGAAGCAGGCATAAATTCTCTGACTTTCTGGGTGTGCAGCAAGTCTAAAACTTTGGTTTTTCGGAGGAGGGTTATATCATGGTTTCATATCGAGGCGTAACGGCTTCTGGAAGGTTGAGCTCTTTGAATGAAAAGAACGAAAAGAGATTTGACTATTAACAGCGTGTGTCTTTTTAAACAATGTGATTTATACGAATCATCGCCGTTTTGATGATTTATGGCCATTTATTTCCCTCCCAACGTTGATAGACCGTGCATGCTGTATCAAGTTACCCAAGGAGTGTGTGGTTGTCAGTGATGTCTGACGGGGCACAAAGGACGAGCTTTTACACAAATCAAAATTCTTTATTTATATCCCCTGATATCTAACATTTTCCCTTCTCTCTCATGTCTAATCATATGTTATTTCTACTCACTCCTTGCCCGGCTCATAGCGGAAGCCAAGCTCGGCCAGCGTCTTGGCTTTACATCCCTCGGCTTCAAACTTGATCTTGGCCTCCATAGCAATGGATCTCTGCCAGAAAAGCTCGCCACCCCATCGCGGCGGCTCCTTGCCAACGTGTTTCGCCCTTTTTATCCACTCATAAAACTCGTTGATGTGCTTGCCGTCATCTCCCAGCTCCGGATACGTGTGCAACGCCTCGCCCCGTCTCTCTTCCAGCTCTCTACTCCACCGCTGCATTTCTTCGTTGGAGGGCAGCTCCAGCGCGTTGGACCACACCGCCGAGAACGCCGCAGCTTGCGCTTCCGCCAATGGCCACGGAACGGATTTCATGTTGAGCGCCGGGAAAACCATCGTCGGGTGTTGGATGAGGAATGTGTGCTGGTACAGCCCGTGGACGCCCCGCCCGGAGGTGATGATCTTGTGGTTGAGGTTCGGGAGGAAAGGATAGCCGAACAAGAAGCCCGTGCAAAAAACGATGTGGTGTATATCCCTTTCTACGCTTCCGTCTTTGAAAAGGACTCCGCGCTGGTCTGGCAGGAATTCGACGATTTCGGGGACTTCCTCGCACCCAATGTGGGCGAGTTTGTCGGGCGATGTTGCGTGTCTTACTGACAAGAGCGTCTTGCCGGCGACTTGGTTGATCTGGAGTGCAACGTCGAGACCCGAGGGCCCATTGCCGACGACGACGACCTTCTTCCCTTTGAAGACGTCGTTCTTCCGATACTGCTTCGAGTGGGTGATGATGGAGGGGTGGGCGGTTTTGAAGTCTTCAATCTTCTTGATGGCCGGTATGAAGGGCACGGAGTAGTGCCCGTTTGCAACGACGACGGCGTCATACGTCTCGCGAACAACCTCGCCGTCATTCAGCGTTGACACAGCCTCCAGATGCCACTGATCTCTGCCATCCGTACTTTCCAAATCGATCCGCGTCACTTGATGACAGAACCTGATGAGATGCCTCAAATCCTCGGCATACCGGACGAGATACTCCTGAATCTCCTCCCTCTTGGGAAACACCCAAGCATCGCTCGGAAACCCCCTATCGTGGAACCGCATCAAGCACCCCGGGATGTTGGCGTGCAGCCGCTCGTACATGGGCGACGGAAACACCGGAGCCGGCGCCCCCTCGGGCCAGACGGCCGGCTCCGGGCCCCAGAGGGGATCCTGCTGCGGCACGGGCACGTCCTTTGGGGGCAGGCCGCTGTAGAGCCAGACGCCGCCGACTTGGTGCTGCTGCTCGAAGACGGTGATGGAGTCGAATGCGCCCTGGGCCTGGAGGTAGCGGGCGGCGGCCAGACCGGCCGGGCCGGCGCCTATGACGGCGACTCTCTTGACGTGCAAGTTGTTTGCCGGCACGGAGCTGGCGGCGCTAAGAGTCGATCCCATGCTACCTATGTACAATGTATAATGTGCGTGTAAAATCAAACGTGTCAATGCTGTATCGATACTGCGGTATTCTCCTGGTCTCTCTACTAGGCAACCCGTCCCTTGGCCACTCTCACTCCCTGCGGCCCGAATTTTTTTCGGTCGGCCGGATGGGCATCTCTATGGCATTTATAGCACTTTATGGTGGCATGAGAACATGCCGAGCTCGGATGATGTCAGTCTAGATAGGCGGGCCAAGTGTGCCGGCATACCCTGATTTGGCAGTGGGACACACCGCCTTCCCCTCCCGGCTTTTGACACACCCGTTTAGCTATCATTAGCAGCTTCTCTACGGAGTACACGTTAGTATTTTGCCGTGACTCCAGGTCGGTTTCTTATATGGAATTGATTGCAACTAACAATGTCACCAGAAAGCCCGGTCTCTGTTGAAATACAAGTATTACTACCTAGGTAGGTTAGTAGCTTCTCTAAGACAGAGTCGTGGTATTGCTTCCATAATCACATCACTAACCACTTATTCCCTCCATCCCAACCAGCTCGTGATCCAACTTTGAGTCCTTATTAGTAGAGTAGAGAGGCTGGCTACCTAACCTACAGCAACAAACACACGAACAATTTACTCACATGAACCTCAAAATCTTCTCATTATGATAAAGGATCTACTGCACAAATTCATGTTTTAAAGACATCTATTTAGACAGGTTATGGAAAGCTGGCCGTTTTAAAGGCATACACTCTCCCAATAGCACGATTCCCTTCATGATATCAAGTCCACCCCGACAATAATCAGCTGCTACCTATCAAAGTGCTTTTGAGCCAACCTGCTCTACCAAGTATATCGATCATGGCTCTACACCATCCAAGGGGACAACTCCAGGCAAGGGCCACGGCGCCTGAACTATATGCGGACTGACAAGTGGCGCCAAAGCGATGTCGCTCACCATCGTCGCGATTTCAGCTCAGAGCATCGAGTTGATCGCGGTGATGGCCAGTCCGGTACCAGCAATCACCCACATCTCAATGTTCTCCGCCCGGCCAACCACGCCGTTTGATTTGCTTGTGCTCGTTGCCGTCTGCTGAGGACCACTCGAAGCTGCCTTTGAGCCGGTTGTCGCAGTAGCAGTTGCTTTAGCCCAAGAGCCAGTCGTAGGGTGCGCTTCCTCATAACATCCAGCGAATACCAAAGTGCTGTTGAGCCATCCAGGTCCTCCAGGCATATCATACATAGCTTGGTACCATCCAACAGGGCAGCTCCGGGCGAGAGACACGGCAGCTGAGCTTTTTGATGACCACCATGATGATGCTGAGCTGCAGTAGGATGAAAAGCTAGACAGGAGAGACGAGGCAGCGACGGTGGAAAAGCGGCACCAGAGCGAGGACGCGGGAAATGTGCACTCTGGCAAGCCGTAAATGTCGGTTTGAGTAGGCTTGCAGTCTTTTTGCAACACGTCGCCGTACGATTGAATGGCAGTCAGGAGAGCTCCCGTGGGCTTGGGGGGGTCAAAGTATTGCGGCAGCATCTCAGTGGTTCACTGCCATGGCTCACTTGTGATGGTGGGCGGCTTGTTTGGCAAGAGTGTATCTTGCAAGGAGGCCAAGGAGCAGCTCGCAAAAAGGAGGATGGCTGAAGTCGCTGGCTTCGCTGCCTGAAATGTTGTGGACTTGCGTGCAAACATTCTGGGCCCTTGTGTGACGGAATACCTTAGTAGTACTGCATGTACATGCATGTTACTCGGACGAGAGGCATCTTGGCGCCACGGCAGCAATCTTACTTGTTCTCCATCGAAACTAATGCCTATATACTTGCATCATCGGGATAGTGTTCCTCTAGGGCCTTTTGTATCGCTTTTAGACAATCCTCCTTGCGATATCTGCCCGTGTCCGGCCAACCATGCTCCTTATAGACACTCTGTACCAATTCTCTCATCCCAGCAGATCCAGGCCAAAGCCTAGTATAGACATCCACAACTACCCGATGGTTAAGTGGAATGAACTGAAGCTCGCGGAACTGGTCCTTGAGCATCTCAAAGAAACCCGACACGGCCCATGCGGTGCACTCTCCACGCCATTCAGCTTGGGCCTCGTCCTCTTCGTAATCGTATGGGTCATCCTCAACCCTCTCTCGGGAAGGGCTGTGCCTAATTTCCCCGGGGCATTCGTACCATAGGACAATGCCGAGCTCCGTATCAAGTAAAAAGACCTCCCGTGAGCGATGCGTGAGACCGATGACGTGAGGAGGAATGACTTCAAACAGAGACGCGCTTTCGGAAGCCACCTTCCGGGGTTCTGCTTGCGACGGGTCGCGGCTCAAGAGACGGCCGATATCCTGCCAATCGGCAAAATAGGAATACCCTGCTGACTGAGCCCAGTCCATGTCGTTGTCCGGCTCTCGTATGTATGGTAGACGGCGGAGTAGTGAGATCACTTCGTCTGTCTTGCCCAGGCCTTGCATGGTTGAGGTCGTAATATCCGGCCATCCCTCTGCAGGGGGTTCAATGACGTCCGGTTCGTCGAGGTACATGTTGGTCAAGAAGTTGTAGTACCCTCGGACTGCGGAGATGCACTCCTCGCGCGAGTAATAAATCTCGGAAAGTCGCGGCATTTTCAGTTCCTTGAGAGGTCGAATTGAGAGAGGAGAATCTAGACCAGGTGAAGAGGAGATGTTGGTTTGAAGTTCTCAGCCGGCTCCCTTTGCCCCTTTTCAATTCACCAGCACCAACAAAAGAATGGGCCAATGAAAAGACGGGTGTTGTGTGACCAGATAACTTGGGGATACAAGCTTAATTTAAGTGTTCATGTTTTCTAGCCCCGGCAAAGCGCGTGGACGGCTCAAAACTTGATCCTGTAGGATTCTTTTTGTTCTGGTTGAGAGAGTATGTGAATGAATGAGCAGGAGAAGGAAAAAAGAAGAAGAAAAGATTGGAATGGTTTATAGGCCAGACTCGAGAGTTTTATATGAGAGAGTCTGTTGATGGATCAAGCCCTGGCTGAGCTGTTGAGCCTGCACCGACTAAAGCGGCGTTGGAATGTTCAATGTTGTTTGTTGGCTTGTTGGCGATAGTTTGTAGCTTGGCAGGACATCTTTCACCGCAACTGCGGATGCATACAAATATGTACTCGTATGCATACTGTAAAGACAACTGCGATGAGAACTTTCTTTTTGGCCATCACAAACAAACCGTCGCAAGCGTTTATATCGGCCCCGGCCTTGGCAAGCCGACTGTTGGTTCTGCCCTGAAAAGCCTGGCTGCGAACCTGCTGGGCAATGATTCCATCCCTGATGAAAGGAGACCTCGTTGACGTAGGCAATCTCGCTGATGTCAAGGTGCTGGACATTGGCGGCTCCAACAGCACTTTGAACGGCGCGAAAAACTCATCATTGGCATCCAGGGCGGCGTCTTGGATTTACAACAGAGACGAGCATACCGATAGCACGTTGGACAAGCGAGTGACTTGTCGTTACAAACAAATCAACTTTGGAGACAGCTGTGCGGCTCTGGCCGCTCGATGTGGCATATCGCCTGCTGATTTTTCAACGTTCAACCCCTCTACCAATCTTTGTTCTTCTCTTAAGCCGGGAGGCTATGTATGTATGCTGCTCATTCGGTACCCCATTCACACCCCCCAAGCCTCAGCCAAATCCTGATGGCACTTGCGCACCACATGTCATTGTCAACGGTGATTCTTGTGACGATCTGGCCAAGAAAAACAACATCACGACTGCTGATGTTGAAAAGTTCAACCAAGGCAAGACTTGGGCTTGGACAGCGTGTAAAGACATGCTTGTTGGTTATAACATGTGTCTGAGCACTGGCAGGGCGCCACTCCCACCTCCGCAAGCTGGTGCAGCGTGTGGCCCCTTAGTTGCTGGGACAAAACTTCCAGCAGACAACACCACTTCGATTGCGGAACTGAATCCATGCCCCCTCAAAGCATGCTGCAGCAACTGGGGGTTTTGCGGTATATTCCCCGCTCACTGTGACATACATGCTCCTCCAGGTGGTGGTCCTGGAACCAAGGAAAAGGGGTTTCAGAACACTTGTGTCTCAAACTGTGGTAACAAGATCAAATCAAATTCAGGCCCTCCTCCGAGATTTCAACGGATTGGCTATTACGAGGCATTTGGCCTTGATAGAGATTGCCTCTGGCTAGAGGCCAAAAATGCAAACACTGACGGCACTTACAGGCATATCCATTGGGGCTTCGCTACCATCGATTCGGCTACGTGGAAGCTCAAAATCAACGACACCAAAGGTCAATGGGCAGACTTTAAAAAGCTGCCCAATGTGAAGAAGATTGTGTCCATAGGTGGCTGGGCGTACTCGACCGAAGCAGCAACCTACAATATTATCCGACAAGCCATTACCACAAACAAGAATGCGTTTACTACGAATATTGCTCAGTTTGTCAAGGACGAAGGCATAGATGGCATTGACATTGACTGGGAGTATCCTGGTGTGAGTATTACCCTCCGTCTTGCACCCAATACGCTGTTGTTCACCCCCAGTCTCTAATCATTTTCGCGCATTAGGCACCGGATATTCTGGTTAACGGCCGGCCAATTGGTCAAAAGAGTGACGGTGCTGATTATCTTAGTTTTCTCACATTGCTAAAACAGAAGTTGGGCTCAGGAAAGTCCGTATCAATTGTAGCACCGGCTTCATATTGGTACCTAAAGGCCTTCCCCATTGACCGAATCAGTGCGGTCATCGACTATATTGTGTATATGACCTATGACTTGCACGGCCAATGGGATTATGGGAACACAAATGCGTTTGACATGTGCCCGTCAGGCAAATGCATTCGCAGTCATGGTGAGAGCCCATCTCCACGCGTGATTCATTCTGTTTTGCTAAATGTGGTAACAATAGTCAACATCACTGAGACCAGAAACTCTCTTGCGATGCGTAAGTACAACTGTCTTGTACTGCACCGCTAAATCAAAGTTGATTAACATGAGGTTATAGTCACCAAGGCTGGCGTGCCAAACAACAAGATCTTCGTCGGTGAAGCCAGCTATGGAAGAGCTTCCCATATGGCTGTGGATGGGTGCTGGGGACCAATGTGCGACTTCACCGGCACCAGACTTCAGTCTGATGCGAGACCTGGGCGATGCACCAAGGCACCAGGGTATCTTGCCTACGCAGAAATCAACGAGCTCATTAAGAACGGTCATAGTGATCAGGCATTCCGTGATGCAGGATCCGATTCGAACGTAATGCTTTACAAAGGTACTGACATTGAAAATCTACCTTATTTGTCTAAAGATGGCTCGACTCGACTCTAAGGCTAATGGTATTGTATTGCAGGGGACTACGTGAGCTATATGTCAACAGCATTGAAAGAGACAAGACGAACTGAATGGAAGGGGCTAAACTTTGCGGGAACCATAGACTGGGCCGTTGATCTGCAGTCTTTCACGGCAGACGACATGAACCATCCACCGGTGATACCGAAGCCTGGCGCTATTGGATGCGTCTCCGGAACAGACAAGACCATTAATTCCGGAGATATTTGTGAATTCGCATGTGGCCACGGTTTCTGCCAGGAATCTCTCTGTGTTTGTAGCACAAAAGGAGAGGTGGATAAACTTCCAACAGCATCCAAAATCGATGTTATGGCTTGGGATCCGGCTGACGTCGACCTGAACCGGCTCTGCAAATTCAGCTGCAAATATGGCTATTGTCCCCAAGATGTTTGCACAGGCGTTCCTAAAGCTGACGATGCAGAAATCGAAGAGGATGCCGGAGCGTATCACTACAACTACACGGATGCGAGATGGTAAAACGCTCACCTATGCCCCCATCTTCAAACAACCGCAGTACAGGGACGTGAGTGTCAACTCTTGTAAGCGGGTGTGTCAGGCAGCACTCGACGATGCAGAAAAAGAAGGCCGGACAAGCAACTATGGCTGTATTGGCAACTTCCCGACCGATCGGGATATTCCGTGGACAAGGCCTCCCGGAAAGGATTATGACATGGCGCCAGGACAGTGCTTCTGCGATAGTGTGCTCGTCAACGAGATCGCCGAGTTCGTCCTAGATGCGCTGCCCATTGTTGCTCAGGTACGTGTTTTTGGATGGCATTTTAGCTGAATGATTGACTCCAACTGCTTCAGATTGGGTGCTACCTTCTCATGTCCACCCTCAAACTTGTCCTTGACGTCGGTCTGGACTTGATCCCCGAAGTTGGGAAGCCTCTCGACGCCGGATTGGGTACGTATCCCCCAACATGCTACGTTTCACAGATTGGCTCACTGACTCTGTTCCTTTCCCCTTTTTAGATATGGCGATCACTGCGACTGAGATGGTGAAGTACATATATCCGCAAGACGAGGACCCTGCGGGCGCTTTTGAGTGGTGGTTGAGCCCATGTGGTGGTTCCGGGCTGGTGCCAGACGACATCAAGCAGATCTTCGACACTCTTAGCCAGGTAGCAGGCGGCGTTTCGAGTTTCAAACCCCCGAAAAACATCCCCAAAGGAAGCGGCAAGAAAGGTGACGACGGCAATCCGACAGATAGAGGAAAGCCTCGGCCCAACACTGGTGGCAGCGGAAAAGGCACGCCGACCAAGCAGACCCAGCGTCTGGGTCAGGGGAAGAACACGCTGCGCATACAATCCTGTGTCGGCGACAAGACAAAGACCACCGAGATTGTTGTCACCTCGCTCGACTACGCAGCCAATGCGAAGCCAACACAAGTGGCCAAGCATTGCGATGCTGCTTGGTCGCAGGCGTGCTATCATTACAGCTCAGCCATCCAGGTCAACCGCCAGTGGGCAACACTCACATGCCCGCAAGAGGCAGCGGCGACAAAACATCGTCTCGACGCCCGAGCGACGTCGGTTTGGTCGAGTCAGCACGCCGGAGAAGGCTGGCAAGATCGAGATGCTGCCGGACGCACATGGCAGAACTGCGACAGGGACGAGTACCCGCCAGCATATCTTCTGGGCGAGACGGACCCAGCCTATATCAACAGCGGATCGAACAGCAAAGGGCAGTTGGTTCGCTATGTGCCCAACACGCAGAATCCAAAGGCTGGTCAGATGTGGAAGGGCACATGCTTCGGTACTCCGGTACGCGCCTTGTCCGACAAGGTCTTGATGGACAGCGTGGCAAAGGCGCCTCAGTCCAAGAAGCAGAATATCCAAAAGGTAAACTTTGAGCAAACAATGGCGGAGATTGGTGTTGACACTCGCCCCGAGTTTACCATCTCGTCATGGGGTCCTCCAAGCAGTTCGGATGCCGGTCTGTCGGCCAATCCATGCTGGCCAAAGGGGATTGCTGCCGCCGACCCTGGGTTTGCTTTGCTCACATATGATCCTTATTATGGAGGCCGAGCGCCGGCGTACGACTACAAAGCCAAATATGTCAAAGGCTCAAACGGGTCTTGAAGGTCATTGTGTCGGGATGGCTGTATGGTGTTGGTGCTGTAGGAATGGTATAGGACTATGGCGACCTTCGTATTGAGAGAATACCAAACACATGTATAGCAAATATGTTTATAGCCTAGTTAATGAACAGAAAAATGGTAGAGAGACTGGGGAGATACCCGACATGCAGTGTTGAGACGCCTGTTTCATGTATACAGAGACGGGACACCTGAGAAACGTTGGACTCGCTCTGTGCCCGACGCCAAAGTGCAACGCCTTACCATAGCAGACTTCAGCCGCGTACTCCATCATAGGGAGTACATGTAGCACTCACCATTGCAACTCCACACCCTGGCAAGCAGCGGATTTGTGTCGCCAAGAGATTGGGCGAGAGCGGACAGGGCCGTGAATGCGATTGGTGGTGACCCCTTGGATGACGCAGGAGTTGGCGGCCGGATATGCGTGTAATATACAGCAATCTGCAGGATACTTGTTTCTTTTAGGTTTCTTCACAAGGTGACAAGGGATCAGTGCCAGCAATGACTGAGGATCGGGGGGCAATGCCTACCTACTCTTGCCCAAAGGATTCAGTCAACCAGGTGGCATTAATTGCTTTAGAAGCCTTGGGATGATGTCAGTTGAATAGATCACAACTTAGTACTACTACTAGGTAAGTACCTAGTAGTAACTGCAGCTAAACAAGTAGCTTCGGGTACATGTAATGTAGCTTCACTGCCAGGCCCTCGGCAGAACAGCAAGGCAGCTAGCTAGCTACACACCGCCTTCCCCTCCCGGCATCTGATTCACATGTACCGAGCAGCAGCTTCTTCCCAACTTCTTTAGGCGCATTTCTTTCCCACGCAAGCCACGCTACAGCTCACCACAGCAACTCCACCCCTGCAACCAGCAGATTTGTGTCGCGGAGAGATTGGGTGAGCTGCAGCCAAGCAGGACAGCGCAGTGAGGCGAGGAGAAAAAAAAAGTGACCACTGCAAGCACATCACCAAACAAACCCGAGCACAAATCAAATCGCAGACAACGCATCGGAAGGGGAGGAAAAAGAGGATCGTCTCCTTTTCGGGCCGCATCTTTTCTCCTTCTTCTTTGTCTCCTTTGTCTCGTTGCATCTACTTTACTTTGCTTATCATGAACCTCCTGCGATCCTCTTTTCACCACTGGCAGAGCCCCTCCACCACTAGATGACCGCGCACCAGTGAAGCCGTCAGCAATGGCAAAGGACAATATCCATCCAGATGTGCTGCGCAGCGCCGAGGCCACGCCCATCGCAAAGCTCAGCCCTGCCATCACCGACGCCGCTGCGCTCGTTGTCGAAGGCGTCGTCACCGTGACCTGGCCCTACAGCATCGTGAACAAGTCCATCGCCTTCATCCTCGCCGAGCGCGACCCCCTGCACCGACGCGACAAGGGCCAGCTGCGAGTCGAGTTCCATGGCGCTGCGGGCAAGGCGCTTGCGGCGACGAGCCTGGGAGGCGGCGACGAGGTGCGCCTGAGCTTGCACGGCGTTGCGTGGGAGGAGAACCAGGCGTGGGCGAAACACCCGGGTATTCTGGAGTGGCAGCTCAAGTTTTCCAAACGCTTGCTGCTGAAGATCAGGAGGGCAGATACGCAGGCGGTGGACACCATTGATGTTGATGCCGCGGATGAAGAGGAAGAACAAGAATTACTGCAGCAGCCTCGGGAGCCGAGCCCGACCCCGTCGATTGACATCGAGCGCACTCAATTCTCGAAACCGTTGCCGCCAACGCCGCTCTCTACGATACCCTCTAAACGATATGCGTACGAGCCACTCGGGCCCGGCGAGTATACCTCTCCCGCATTCATCAAGCGTGCAAGGGTCTCATATGGCTCGCTCTTTGAAGGCGGCTTTGACATATTCGATGAAGAAGAGCCTGTCAAAAGCGTCAAGAAGAAGAAGAAGAAGTCTCGGTTCAGTATGGGCCCGACATCTTGGCGATACGCCAGTCAATCACCTTCTCCCGAGGTGGAACAAGAGCAGCCGGCTGAAGAAGAAGAAGACGAAGCTGAACCCAAGCTTGATGATGTCGAGGAACCTGCGGCTGAAGAACAAATAACTACACGAGCTGAGACACCACCTCCTCAATCGCAGCCCGTCATGGTGGATCACGGATGCCAGACTAGAGAGATGAGCTCCAGCCCAACCAATGGTGTCCAAATTATTGCCGAATCCAAATCGACCGGTATTCTACTGCAACCCACGCCAACTCACCCCTGGAAGCATGTGGGAGTGGACCATGTGCTGCAAGAACCATCACCCCTCTCATTCGACTACGCAGCGTCCCACGATGTACCACCTTCAATACACGAGTCGGAGCCTTTCGGCCAACCTGAAATGCATTTGCCTCACGCTGGCTTTGATATGTCCATGGACATAGACCCCAGTCTCCAGCCACATCAAGCAGATACTCATAATCACGACCCCCACCTCGCATACAACACGACGGCGACTGAATTACAGCCGCCTCGCTCACAAGAACATGGGTTTCATGATGCTCATCTACACGATTTAGCTTGGGTTGCCGAGACGTTGGCGCCAGCTTATCCTACGGTGCCAGCACACAACGCACATGATTTCCCACAGGGAAGTTTTGATCGATCATCCTTTACTTTGAGAGCCAGCCCTTCCGATGAAACGCACACACTGGTGTCCGCCGGGCATCGCGTTACGGAAATGCATAGCTACGCCCAATTCGATGAAGCACGGAGGGTGTCATCCTCATCTTACCCACAACAAGATGGGGTGAAGCCTAGCAACAGTTATCCTGAGCGCTACGAAGAAGATACCGAGACTGCCACGGTAACCGCTACACTAGGCAGAGAAGGTAGATCCAGCCCTCCCCAAGAGGAATATAGTACAGATGAATCCGAAGAGGAAGAAGAGGAGGAAGAGGGCAGCCGACATCGCTACTATGACTGGAACACTGGCCGGATGCGAGAGGGATATCCTGAAGAAGAAGAACCTGACAACCAATATGCCGAATACGAAAACGACGAAGAAGAAGGGGAGGAGGATGAAGATGAAGAAGACGACGGGGAGGAGGGTTACGAAGAAGAAGTCGAGGATAACGCGACCGAATCTGAAGCCGAGTCAGAGTCTGAAGAAGAATCAGAGTCTGAACCAGAATCCCGAGTCTTTAATCATTTTACGCAACCCGCGCCACCGGCTCCGAGACCATTCATGTACATCTCAAAACCAGCCCCGGCTGCTCCAAAAGAGCCCGTTTTTATCAGCCTTTTGTCCGATTCGGAAGACGATGTCGACAATGCGCCTGCCACCACACAAGCTAAAAAGGAACCGAGCGAGGAGCCTCCACTTCACCAAGATGAAGTTCATGAGCCGCTAAGTGTTCATGAGCCGCTAAGTGAACAGGAGGGCGACAGTGTTGATGAACTCGAGGATGAAGATGTCGATGAATCCATGGACGAGTACTTGGACGAAGTTGAAGACAAATCTGATGTCGAAGAAGCAACTGAGATCAGAACGGTAGCAAGCCGATCGTCCCGCAGATCCAGCCGAATAAGCCAATTGGATGGTTGTGATGAAGACGACGATGAGGAGTCTGGCAGAGATATCAGCCACGTCGAGATGGACCACCCGAATCTAATCATATCTCCAAAACCCCACATACGACAGCAACGTGTTGATATAGCTGAGTCTCTTGCTCAGGTCCAAGACGAGTCGCCAGTGACCAGCTCTCCGCTCCAGCGTAGGGGCTCGGGGCAACACGAACTCGCCGCCGTCGACGTGGCTGATGACGAGGAGCTCCCTACCATGGAGATGCGCGGTGTCTCTGAATCACCAGTGCCGGAGCCTAATGTCGAGGCACCAGCTGTTTTGGAACAGAATGATGAGAAACTGGAGGCTAAGCAACACCAAGTGCATGTACAAGATGCAGTACAAGCAAAAGAGCCAGAGCCGGCGCAAGAGCCCGCGCAGCATACCGAGTCTCCTGCTATTGAATCTACGCATCAAGTCACAGAGCCCTCTTTACACAAGCCAGACGAGGAGACGGATAGAGTAGAAGCTCCAACGCAACAGCCCACTGCCAACGATGATTTGCTTATGGAGGATCTGCAGTCCACAGCTCCGGAGACCCAACCACCCAACGCGGAGGCAGGGGCAGAAGCCGATATCATCATTGAACAAGACGTCGAGATGCAAGACGAGGTGCTAATCCAACCAAGAGAAGAGACTGAGGTTGTTGCGAACGAGGACGACAACCAGGTCGACCACACCACCACAGACACCGCCTCGAAAGCCACTGGAGAGCCTGAAGTGGCTGCAGCATCATCACCTCCGGCTACTCAGACAGAGCCACCTCAACTCGTGACTATGGCTATTTCAATCCTAGAAGAGTCAGAAATCACAGAAAAGCAGCTGCCAACTCCACTAGAGACTCAACAAGATGACTACGAGAACGACGTTGACGCGGTTGATGTGGCTCATGTTGAGACGCCGCATAATGAGGAGGGGATCAATGAAGAAGTCAAGGAACATGCCGAGGAAGATGTCGAAGATGAATTCAAAGATGCCGATGAAGATATGGACGAAGAATACGAGGATGCGAAAGAGGAGGGGGCTGATAATGACGACGATTTTGCAATCGAGCAGCAGCTTATGTCTGAATTCCAGCATTATTCCAGCCCCCTGAAGGCGCACGACGCAGATGGAGTTGAGCAAACTTTCTCGCAGCCCCCCGACACGATTGAGGAGATTGAGGAGGAGATTGAGGAGGAGATTGAGGAGGAGATTGAGGAGGAGATTGAGGAGGACCAACATACTCAACAAACCCAACAGCACAGCCAGCAGAGCCAACATGGCCATCACGGGGAGCACTGCGATCACGGCCATCATGACCACCATGCCCACCATGGTGTCCACGACCGAAACTCTCGCCGAGCAGAACCAGAGATGTCGATAGGGTTGCAATCTCTTCGGAGCCACTGTCGTGCTAAGAGACTGTCAAGTGATAGCGCCGATAGTTTGTTGACCGATCCCAGCGTCTTGCTCGCCAGGGGTTCTCCCACCATGGCGCATCGTCAATGTCTGCTTGGCGATAGTGACTATCTCCCCCAGCGATCACCGCGGTCGCCTCGGAACAAGGCCGAGCTTTCGGATCATAGTATTGCGCTTGCCAAGTCATCGCCTCGCGAGTCTGTATCGCCAAAGAATGTTGGGGCATCGGCCTCGTTGCACACAAGACGTGGCGTCAGGGGGTCGATTGATGCCAGCATCCTGCTAGCACAGTCCTTTTCGCCTACGTCGGAACGCAGTCCAGCCAGTCCAACGGCATCGTTTCGTGCTGGCCGGCGTAAATCTGATAAGTCGGATCTGAGTGTGCAATTAGCGACCACCAGCTTCAAGGGCTCTCAACAACAACAGGTGGCGGAAGAGGGGAAACAGGAGATCGCCCCGGATGCAGCTCAGGACGCGTCAGCGAATCTTCAACGTGAAAGTACACCCGAGCCCACGGTGACAGGCCACAACCTGAGGTCACCCCGGAAACCCGCCGCCGTATCCTCTACCAGAGCGCCCTCCGTGGCCAGCTCCGTTGCTGAAGACGGGAACGTGACGTTCCTGAAGCTACAATTGTTGAAGAGCCTAAGAATAACACTACCGGACTGTCTGCCACTCAAATCCCTGCGCATCTCGTTGACCAAAACGACCGACATTTTAGCCGTGGCTACCCTCACTCCGCGCCAGCCACACCGACCGAAACACGGGCCCCGGGGCTACATGTTGGAGCTGTATCTGACCGACCCCTCAGTGGCGCCCTCGGGCGTCAACATCGCGCACATCTTCCGGCCCCATCAAGCCTCCCTCCCTACGGTCCAGGCCGGCGACGTTGTGCTCCTTCGTCGCGTCCAGGTGGTGTCAGTCCAGGGCAGGGGATTCGGCATCCGCGCCGGAGATGCCTCGGCATGGGCAGTCTTTGAAAAGGACGACGACGAGATGCTGCCGCAGATTAAAGGTCCCCCGGTGGAAGTCGCGGATGAAGAGGTTGCCTACGCGCAGGGCCTTCGACGGTGGTGGGGTCTTCAAGATGACAAGGCATTGGTTAAGATCGATAAGGCGAATCAGAAGATGTCACAAGCCGTCAAGGATGATACCAAGTGAAGGTGGCGAGCGGGCCTCGGGATATGGGGGTTTTTTCAAGGGGAACCATGATGGCAACACTTTTGTTTTCTTTGTTTTTAGCGTGGCTAAGATGGATGGCTTAGACATTGGCTAAGCGAGTCTAATGATTTGATGAACTACCTTATACATAACATGTAAGACTAATAGGACGGAGGGTTGGTTAATACTGGCCGTTGGGATAATGGGGGGGAAACCGGAGGGAATAGCTACAGCATAGGATTTAGAGCTCTACTGGTATCAAACCAAATCATCAATTTTCTTTTCTCTCCAAGACTTGTCACTGTTATTCTCCGTGCTCGGACTACAAAGAGCGAAATCGCAGCTCCTAGGAAGACACAGTACATGGAGGAAGATACGGGCGTGCCATTGATTTGCAATGGCAATGACTCCATAGGAAAGCTTGCCACAAGCAAAAATGTCATCGAGGCACAAGAGCTGTCCCGGCAAGGAATAGCAACATCAGGCCATCTGGGGCTCGGCCGATGCGAACCGTTTTTGACGTTTCCAGGTCTCAGACATGTGGGTAAGCCAGATCTAGAGATGCAGCAGCATGTGGTTGCGGGGTTCCCTGGAGCTCAAGGAGGGATCTAGAGACCAAGCTTCCCGGGCCGGGGGAGAAGCCAGATCCTAGAAACTCTTGCCGAGCCGAAAAAATGGCACGAGGGATAGCGTTGGCGCGTTCGGCCCAAAATGCCTTGTGATTTTGAGGGGAAGCTGTTTTCCCGCACCTCCCAGATCAAAAGGCATGACATGACATGACAGGAACAAGTCTGGACCGATACCGGCATGGCTCGGAGCCCATTGACGACCAAGGGGTTCGAAAGGGGACGGCTTAGATCGACTGTGGAGTAGCGACAATTGGCCTGCTGCAGTCTGTAAGACAAGATGGGAGCTGACTTGTTAGTTTGTTGGTCCTCAACACTATTGTTAGTAGATTCGTAGCCAAGCCGAAGTCTCCCGGTAGGGTTTGCTTAGTTGAAGCTAAACGTGCATGAAAGGGTGTTAGCCACGGACCATGCTTTGACGCTGCATGTTTGTCTGCCGCAGTTCGGGACTGCATTCGTAGAATACGAGCAAGAGGAGCTCAGTTGAGTCATCGAGCAAGCAAGCATGTGCGTGCCTGTGATGTGCATTGGCTTACTGGCGAGACATGGCGAATGCAGCCGAGAGACGATCCCACCAGCCCCCGGCTTGTCCATTATTACTTTCACATTGACGCCGATGCTCTCAAGGGCGCATGTAGAGGTACATGGGAGATGATTTGCACTCCGTACACATGCCGCGATGGGGATGATGTCAAATTGGCGAGGAGGAGCAAGAAAAAGAAACGGAAAAGATGGCGGGGCCTCTCGAGCTAGGGAGACACGCGAAGAAGTCAGACAGTAGAAGCAAAGCTTGAAGAAGTTTGAATCCATGCAGAGGACTCATACTCCTTGCTTATGGAGTATACAGCGATGTTGTTGGTTTCTAATTACCTAAGAAAGAGAAGGGCTGCTCCATATGCGGCGCCAGTTTTCATATCGGCGGCCCCGTCCCACAGGGCCCGAACCACAGCAGGTGGAAAAGCGGGAGATTTCGTGATGGTATCACAAGTATGTTGCATACATGTGAGAATACAACGTATCTAGTAGAAGGGCTTTTGCTTCTGACTGAATTTCGTTCCTCGAGGGCCGGTCCAGGATGTCCGAGTACGAGTACATTCAATCAATCAATAGCTCGTTGTCTTTGAGACATGGCGCACTAAGAGTGCCGCGAAATTGAATGCGAATAATCGATGGGGCACCGGCTCCGATTGTAGGGCCCATCGTGGCTCCGGCAAGGCCCACATGGCATGCAGGGACCCCTGACATCAAAGACGGAGGATTTCGGAAGAGGTCGGAGTGCAAGTGCGCGTGCCGCAAAGGTGATGCTTCAAGTGTGTCAACTGCAACAGGTCAGGAGTATCAGCTGAAGCAGCGGAAATCTGATACAGGACAGCCAAGGCATTGGTACCAAATGCAGGTTAGCAAAACCAAGTTGTTTTAGCGCGCGTGCTGCAGCCATGCATCCCAGAACCTCGCTCACACCTCGGAGGCGCAACTGAGCGTCGTGGGTGAACGTGCCCATCTGGACGCACTGACACAGACAGGAACAGAACGAACGAGGCTGCATTGCCCAACGGACCACACGCGACACAGGGTTTGTAAGCACAGGGTGCTCATGATGGCCTCAGCAGGCCTCGTTTCTCGCTCTTTTTCAAGTGACCGGCCCGGGTCCGGATGCTGGCCGGGTCACGCCCTAGAGTAGATTCCCGAGACCCGAGACCCAGAACCCAGAACCCAGAACCAGGATCGAGCAGAGGCAGAGGCGGAAGGAGGCACTGCAGAGCGCAAAGTGGGCAGCGACGGGACTCAGAAAGCAGCCGCCGCGGTCGCTTTTCTTTTTTCGCCGCCCCCTGCTGAGCCTTTGTGTTGCTTGCGTTTGCGTGCTGACCGGCCAGTTCGTCGAGAGGTGGAGATGAAGAAAATAGAAGCAAAAGAAAAAGAATGTTGAGAGAAGAGGATGGGTGGAGCCCCCAGTGCGGCAGCGCAGCTGATTGGCTAGCCCTGGCCTAGCGTGCCTAGTGCGTGGAAGGTGCCGCCACGGCGCAAAGTCGTCTGCCTGCAGGAAGGAACAAGTGCCGTGACTTGCACGTTCTCGTTCTTGTTTTTTCTTTCTCTATCTTATCTTTGTTATCAGTCTCGTATCTTCTCTTCATGCACAATTACACGCATCTCGTCCGATTCTCAAATCCGACATGCCCTCAGCCTCAACATCAGTCCATTATCCCCTATTTCCCAGCGCAAAGCACCTGAGCAAACCGCCAGACAACAGCGCAGAAAAAGCCAGACCGTCAGGCTAGGCGTCGTGTCTCTCCACCCCCCTGCGGATCCCGGAGGCCTGGCGCCGGCTAATGCAGCTTGGGGAAAAGAAACTACTGCTGCTACCTTAGTTGGCGCGTCCCCTGTGCCACCACCCTTGCCCGACCGGAGCGACACGGAGCAGGACAAACGTCCAAAAGGATGCATTCATGATGAGCCCGCCGAGTGGGTTGGCTAGGGCAGATGGCATCTTATTTGGCCCTCAATGCGAAGCGTCAAAAGTACTCGTACAACGGGAATTGGTAGACAATCCTCTACGAATAGCATGACATGCCGACCCGGCTAGAGGCCGGCATCTCCTCAGCATGGCCCAACGACAACGCCATCCAACTGCAGTCGTTTGGACGATATAATACTCGGCCAAGATCCTCTTGATTTCGCACGCTTGATCGATCAACTTGTTTCATCCATCCATCTCTCTCTTCTCTCACACACCCTACTTACTGTACTCGTGCCTGCTGGGTATCAGATCCTGTCATCTCCCTCGTCAGCTCCGCATCGACCTTCGACCACACCCCGTCTGACTCCGTCCGTGTAAGAGTGCTGCTTGCGGACGACTAGCCCGAGACACCGCCAATTAGTTCCCCCAGCGGACAAGCCTTCCGGTAAGTACGGAGTGCGCTCGCCACCTTTTTTTTTTAATAATATTTTTGCTTTTTTTATTATTTCCCTTTTGCTTTCTGTCGGTGCTTTTACCCATTTTTCTTTTTGGCTTGAGCATTTGTCTGTGCCCGGCCCGCCCTGCGCAAGGTACCTGTACATCTCCAAATCCTTCTCTTACCAGGTATTACTGCACCATCGTCCACACGTTTCACCTTTTCTCAACTCTACCAATCTTTGGCCCTCTTTCTTTTTTTTCATCTTTTCTTTTTTCCCTCGATTGCAACCCCTTCCCCCTTCTTCTGCTTAACACTTGCCGCCCCCCCCCCCCCCCCCTCATGGTCGTTTCGTCGTCTCGTGATGCCCGTGGAATATTAGCCTCCGCCGTCTTCTGAAACATACCCGAATCTGTCTAGACCCCCGAGTCCTTCAGCTTCACATCCCCCTTCACCCCCCTAGCTCCACGTTGTCCTGTCATGAGCCGCCAGTCGTTGGTTCTAGCTTCTCGTCTTGAGAGCGGATCTCGCGGAAGATTGGGGTTGTTAATGAAAACCCCCAGTCCCATGTTCCGCAGGGGCTTGTCTTCCATAGCTGCTGTTACGAGTACTATTAAACCATTGCCATCCTCTCCCGCATCTGCGTCGTCTTCTTCTCTGAAACCAAATTCAACTTGCTCTTCTCTTGTTCCAACGCTAAGCGGCGACTCGCGCAGCCATCTTGCACATTCTCGTTCACCCCGTTCATCCCTCTTCTCAGCATCTTCGCTGAACAAAATCCCAGCTCTACGCCCCCCACCAATGGCGTCGAGTGCCCGCAGTGCCGACAGTTCTGACGTCTTCACTCCTCGATCAACTTCACCTTCACCGTCCGTAGCTTCGGGCCGCTCCTCTCACCGTTCCTCTCGCACTTCAGTGTCTAATAAACGCGTCTCCATTTCTAGTCGCAGACTGACCGATTTTAACCCAATGTCTTCAGTCGACGTTTTGGCCATTGAGGAGGCCATGAAGTTGGCGTCCCTAGACCAGCACCGGGGATACGCCCAAGATCATTATACCGAGGTTAAGCAGGACCACAACACCGAGTACCTCAAGGAGTCCGAGGCTTCCGCCTATCAGGTCCTTCGTGAGCCATTGTGGAACAAAGGTAGGTTGATGCGAATTGAAGTCTATATCTGCCCTTCTCTCTGTTTTTCTCTTTTACAATCTACACATACACCTACCTGCAGCTTGCTTTGCAATTTCCGCTGTGGTTACTTACTCGTTTACGCCCACTTTTTTATTTTTACGCCCGTTGCTAACTTACCGTCTTCACCATGAAAGGCCTTTCGTTTACTCCCGAACAACGTGTTGCCAAGAATCTCACTGGCCTCCTACCCCACGCCATGGAGAGCCTCGAGACCCAGTGCGCCAGGGCCATGAAGATGATCCATAGCCGCCAGACGGGCATTGACAAATACCTCTACCTGTCCAGTGTCAAGGC